GTATGATATTGGAGGCAACGCCGAAGAAGCACGCGGTCTATTGGAGATACACAACCATTTATGTGAAAAACTAGCAGTAAGCTGATCTTCGTGAACTTTGTATGGTTCAAACTGCAGTGTGCTTCCTCGACGAATGGAGGGCTACAATGGTTCCCATTGTGCTTATTTGCATCGTCATTTATGTATTTAGTTAGTCATCGGACTTATGGGCGATACGTACAGACTATCGGACTGTGTAGGTTTATCCTAAACTAACAGTTGTATTACGCTGCGACCGCATGTAGCGTACTGTTCCTAACTGATTGAACCATTTCAAACATTGACACCTTTTTGGGTGAACAAAAGTGAGACTATGTTTTGTACAACTAGTCAGGGTTTCTCCGAGACACTTTACTAAAACTGAAATAAAGTTTGGTGGTTTAATACGGTTAACGTTATTGATGTACGCAGCACCTCAATTTGATTGATACCAACATTGATAAGGGTTGCAAATATGCCAGATCTGCTGAATAAGATCAATTTTGACTTTACATGGCTTAAACAATGTAACTCATTGGTGATTAGTGTTTTTCTTGTTGTTTACGATACCTGCTTGCTTTCGAAAAACTCTCACTGAAGCAACTTTCTCTATCCACACAGGCCAAACAAGATCAGATTTCCCAACTTTTATCACGAGCTGATGACTTGGTCACGCAGCAGACATCAGAAAGTCAAAGCCAAGTGTACGCCGCCATGGCAGAATCATTGAATCGGGCATGGAGAGACTTACTTGGTGTGTTGTCGCAACGAGGGAGACTACTCGAACTTGCTGTAGACTGCTTTACTGCAGCTGAAGAGGTCGTTGCTAAAGCGAAAGAAGTGGAGGAACGATGTCTTACCGATGGATGGGGCCATGATGTCGAATCTGTGAGGAAGTTAATCAAGGTACGCGTTTGGTGAAGGTGTGTTTGTGACTGCGCTTATTCTGAGCTTTAACCTTCAAGGTAGGAAATTTGTTCACATAGACTGAGTAAACCATTGGGTGTCACAAAACTTTTCATATTTTTCTGAGGCTAGTCACCTCATCTCCCGTTAGCTACCGTTTGTTTATAGAACATTCTGCTGTATCCTTCGAAATTACACAAAATGATTGCTTATTCATTGTCTATACTTCATGACCAACGACGAACTCACAATGCCGCTGTATACTTACATTTAAATCCCATGTTTAAGGAACATGAAGCTCTGAGACACAGTCATCTACTGGAGCCCACACATCGCTTGCTGAATATCGCCAATAGTCTACTGGACCTACTGGGAAGATTGTCCAACCATCCTGGTCCTTCTGATCCCTATTCTGCTACGCACGGAGCGAGTCAGGCTAGCGTGGAGGCTCGCGAGCGTGTCGCATTAATCACTGCCAAAGGTGGTTTAAGTCGACGTCATGCGGAAGTTGCATGGAATCGCAGAGATCGTTTACTTCAAATGCGTCTGACCGCAGTAACCATAGCAACGGACCTGGATGATATCGTGGACTGGTTCGTGAAGGTGAGCAAGATGATGACAGATTCCACTAATCTTACTCCTCCTTGTATGCGCAAAATGGTCGGGATGTAGTCGAGGCTCCTGACCCTGAGCTACTGTAGTGAACATATTTAGGAAATTTGTGATGTTTCTGATATTATTTAATCCAATTCTTAATTTGTTTAAGGTGGTTTATAACGTGCCGACTTTACAGGGAAATCCAGGCGGTTAATACAAGCTCCGTTTTCTGGGAATTCGCAAACTCGAAATGAAATTAATACCTGCGCTCCATCACTTTTAGAAATATCCCGTGGTAACTGTACACAGATCTCAACCAAAGCGAATCCATGTGAGGAATGGACAGCCGTGGGCTGTTTGAGTTTGTATCAAACCATGATGCTTCTTTAATTTGTAGTGTTCTTACATTGCACTATCTGCTTTAGGTTGTTTAGCGGTTTGTATGCCTCATGGTTCAAGTGTCACTCGAAATGGATTACGAAGCTCCATTTGCATAATATTAGTTCACCGGTCCATACTGATACAGTTTTATAGTGCTAGCAGTAGTGGCGAAACATACTAATGATTTGTGTTCATAAAAGATCTACTTAAACCCCCGATTAACAAAGTCAAGCATTAAACTAAGCCATGCCTATCTAATGAAACTGATCAAATATCTACTTAATGCCGGTAAATTAAAACTGATATTCGTCCGGCGAAGGCTCGACAACGAAAGCAATAGGTGTACAAGTTATAGAATGTAAAGCACTCAGTGTCATAACGTAGCAAGACCGAAACGGAAAGAAAGCACAATCTTTATCGTACGTGAGCACGGTTACCAATCTGTCATGCACGTGCGTATCTATCGGTCATGTTTCCGTCTCACGGCATACTACATGTCATATTCGTGCGTTTTTTTCCCCAACTTTGCGGGGTTTGCCTGCTTGTCTGACCCTGTAGCTTCGTTCCATAACTCGCATTCTGACCAGCCTGGAGTTGTTCCAGAGCCCTAGATTCACTTGATCGCGGTTGCGTTATTCGGCTTGGGGCTCATCATCATCATACACGTTAGCTAGAGGTGGGGAACACCTCAGCTACTGTGCCGCAATACACAGAAAAAAGGAGAGAGAAAAAGCAACTGGTGCAAGCTGGCTGAACTACCGGTAACGGATGGGCATCGTTCCGGTAAGCTACCAGCCGGCTGCTGTGCACTCAAAAAGAAAAAAAATATTATGCAAGATTATATAAGGCTAAGTAATGAGATCGTGGTTGGAGGGGGAGGCTAAGAGGGATGGGGTGGGACAAAGAAACTCACAGCACGAACGCCACTGAGGTCGGCTCCTAGCCATATCAGCAAGTGTGTCCAACCAAACGTGTTCATCGTCTTTCGGACCCCAACCAGGGAGCCGAGACGCTCCAACCGAGGCCAGCTCAGAAGTGAGGGCCTTCATTCCTCTGGACCAAGTCATCGCTTGGCCACCCCTCCTCTTCTTCCATCCACACCCCCGGCGCGAAAACAACACACGTCGCGGAAGTCGGTGGGTTCGCATGCGTAACACGTGGCCGAGCTATCGGAGCCTGATGCGTGAAATAACGGTGCTGAGCGGTTCAGTTCCTTTTCCTGTGCCATAAACAAGGCGCCGAACACGCTCGTTGCTCACGCGGTGTTCCCACCAGATGTGAGCTAAATTACGAAGGCACCGGTGGCTTGGAGCTACTCCTGGAGGAACCAACAAATACCTTTCTATCTGATTTATTGGCCTTTCGACAAGTAGTTTCTCAGTTCTCCTTAGCTCAGACCCGTTACCGTTCGTCGCTTGCGATCCGCACTCCGCTCGTTCTGTGGGGCTTGTGTTGCGCCGTTCGATCTTGTCCATGACGCCTGTGTCCCTTGCTGTCCTCGCTCGTTACTCTGGCTTTCCAGTTCTCTCCGTGATCGTTTCTTTCGGCGCCACTACAGTAGGACAAGTTTAGCTGCTTTTTGGTTATTCAATTTATAGCCATGGTAAATGTAGTGTCCAAAGATTCCTTAGGATACATGTCCCGTGGTTGTGATGATGAAGTGGAACGGTTACTTTGTGTGAAACACCGAAAAGAATGAACGATGGCCTCTAACCACCAGGACCACAGGACAACGCAGAATATGTCAGCATGACGGACTGGATTGAACACTGCGTGACCCTTTCGTCTTTCCTGGATTTTCGACAGTCAGTATTCTCTCCATCCTCTCTAAGGTTAGAATCCGCAATCATAACCTTGCAAATCCCTTGTTAGGACCGTTGAACCAAGGGAGGTGGCAGCCGCCATGACCCAGTAAGAAGCTATGCGATAGCTTGGTTCTCATGTCGTTCCACCACACACGTTTCCAACTTGATGACGTTGTGATAGGTCTCCAACAAAATATTTAATAAAACTTCCACTATGCACTACTCGCTAAAGTATAACTTCGTTTTAATGTGACCGAAGTGTTCTTGGTTATCAATTCATTATCGTGGCTCTAGAACCCCAAAACAGAGGGCTAACATATAGATTCTTACGTTTGACTTGCAGGTCGGGGAGCCACGTTTGTGCGACGCTCAAATTGGCACCACCCTGTCCGAGTGTGAAACAAATCTCGGGAGGTTAATTGCATTGGGAGACGAAGTTCGGGAAATACAGAACCGTCACACAGATCTTATGCGACATTTACAGCAAGTGTCCAGCTCCGATCACTGGCGAGTTGGCCAGCTTCGAACGGTGTTTGAAACACTGGATTCCACCAGTCAGTCCCTAGAGTCTGCTTTGCAACAGTACTACGGCCAGATTGATTCCCCAGGACTGCTAAAGACAAGCTTTCTTGATATGCAGTCGAGCGGTGATGAGACTTGGAAAGAAACTCAGAGCGCCTACTCTCATTTGAATGAAAGGATGAGGACTACGGAGGCGTATATATGGGAATTCCTGGATCGCCTAGAAAATCGACGACGTCAGCTTCATACCGGAGTGATTTACTACACGGAATGCAACTTAGTAAGTAACATGAGGACAACATATTCTTTTCTATAAGACTGACTCAATTGAATTAACTAGAGGCTGAAATTGGCATACACTAACTTTTTCATCTTTCTGTGTCTAATGCTCATGATCTGTGGCAGACAATGATTAATGCAAATGATTCTTTGTTGTAGCTACTAACCCAAATATATCAGCTTGAAGCAGATTTGAAGCGAAAACAGGAGTACCCATTAACGGCGCTGGAAGACTCTTACTTCGAGAGATTGAATGGCCTAGAGGACCGTGTGCCAAGCTTGCGACAAATGTTGAATGATTTAAGTAAAACCTATGATGACTCCTCAAGCATGCCTACAGCGCTTCGAAGCAAACTGAGTCAACACCTTCGCATAGCGGTGTCAGGCCAGGGTTTGTCTTCTGCGTCAAGAACTGCAGCATCGGAAAAACTGAAGGAAATCGAAGACGGGATAGCGAGATGCCGATCCCTGTTTTCTATGTATCAAGAGAGCAGTATCAGAGCACAAAGAAAACAGCAAGTGGAAGCCCGAACAGAGACGGTAAGCGTCATTTACATGAAAATCTGAGGTTGACTGCTGAGTTCTGTCTGGTTTACCAGACAGTATTATGACCCCATTACTCACGAAGCATTATTTAAGAACATTGTCTGAGTGAAGTGTAAGGTGGTTGGGACAGATATGTTATGTTGCCACCATTTTATTACATGCAAGTGTTGAGCATAAAGTATACAAACCTGCTTACCGGATCAATCTAAGATGTGTCCACAGCATAATTGCCTCAGACCCTTAACTATAAAGCCTACCCAAATGATCATGAAAATGAGCAATTTCCATTTGTAACTGCCCGTAGAATTAATTGCGCAGATGTCAACTACTACTGAATTTATGAACTAGGCCAACAGCGCAGTATGAATAACACGTCAGTGACCCCTAACTCAATAGGAGAGAGCTGAAATGTCAGTTGACTATGGTTTTAAGCAAGAAAACTTACATCTCATATAATACACACACACACACACACACACTATCCACGTTAGCTAGAGGTGGGAAACACCTCAGCTACTGTGCCGCAATACCTAAAAGAAAAGAAGGGAATAAAATGCTACAGGTGCAAGCCAGCTGAGCTACCGATAACGGATGAGCATCGTTACGGCAAGCCATCTGCCGGCTACTATGCAAAATTATAAAATGTTAAGTAATGAGATCGTGGTTGGAGGGGAAGACCAATAGGGATGGAGTATGACAAAGAAACTCACAGCACGCAACCCACTGAGGTCGGCTCCTAGCCATATCAACAAATGCGTCCAGCCAAACGTGTTCATCGTCTTTCGGACCCCAACCAGGGAGCTGAGACGCTCCAACTGAGGCCAGCTTCGAAATGAGGGCCATCACATATAATAATATACTTATGATAAGCTGTATTTCTCGTGATACTGAGAAACCGAGAATACGAAGGGACGGATGATATTTTATCTAGTATTCGTCAGTTGAGTCCGTGGATATCCCCGCTGAAAGAACCGATTGCAAGAGCAAGTGACAGTTTAGTTATCTACTTTTTAAATTCCTCATCGGCTGCAGCAAGATACCACCCAGACCTTCAGCACCGAGGCAGTGATAGAGTTCAGGGAAGTTCCGCCAATGATAGTTGTAAAAGTTTATGCAATAGGAGTTAGTAGCAAAAGAACCTCAGCAACCTTTTACTTAATGTGTAATATCACGAGGCTAGCTATGATGCACCCTTCCTGTGGGTGTATTTCTAAATTCTACCAAGGCTTCAATGCAGAGTGGCTCACAAGTGTTGACCAGTGATTGGTGAGGCTACTACGTTCTATTATGTTCCGATCGACTTAGTTATATGTAATATTATACATATAGTGATTCAGTACTACAGTTGTTAGATGTTTGAGCGTCATTGAGCATTCGATTCATCCAATAAGCGTGGTGCTGTAACATCCTTCAAAAATCGGCATCATTCTTCGGACACGATTTGCGACTTACTATGTCGAATGCACATCGAAAGCCTAGTACTGTGCAATGTCTGTTAAATCTACCTGTTGCCAACGAACGTAGCTTGTACAATGAACAATGACTTATCACGTGCTAAAAGCAAGTGCTTGACACGCCCGTAGGATGGTTGAGATGAATATGATGAAATCCAAATATATCTAGGTCATCTAGCGAACGTCTGCCGAGATGAATACTTTGATAATTAACATCAGTGTAAAATTTAAAAAAAATTATCGAGCGTAAACGATCAGAAAGACACTGGGGTGAAGTGATCGTTGATGTAAGGAGTGAGAAAAATAAAATATGGTCGCTCATTTGGGTCCATTTGATACATAACTTGTTGAAAAGCGTGCTTTGCGTAATTCACAAAAGAGGAGTTTAGGTAACAAAATGCTGGGAGCTAAGAGCAACATCTAATCGTTTTTTTGAAAACGTCCAAGGTAGGAGAGGATACAACCCAGTCTGGAGATGTGTTCCAGGGTTGGAAAACCCGAAAGAAAAGTAATTCCGTCGACACTCTAGACGGCTATATTGTTCCTACAATTATAAACAGTTACCCCTCAGCTGCGTGTTAGGGATAAGTTTCACCGGCATACGTGGTTGGGGTCACTCAGTATTTGATACGTTAATATGAGATCGCCGCGCAGCCTTCG